AACACACGCTCCGGTCTTAGGTTTGTTGTGTGATGGTGTATTGGGGGGTGGGGGGGGGGGGGGGGGGGATTTCATATAGAAACAGTCAGAAAAGAAAACTGAAAAAGAAGAAAAATAGGCTTTGCTTGCTGCTTCTGTTTGTTCTGCTTGTTCATCCAGACTTCATCTATTTGTTTTGTGTAAAATTCACTTTGTTGCATGTTGCAATTAGGACCACTATGATTTTGGGATGAGAGCTGTAAAAACTGTGATCTCTGCTGCTGGAAACTTGAAGAGGGAAAATCCTGATATGAATGAGGTTTGATGATACACAATATTTGTATGCATGTTTGCTCTGCAGTATTCTATAAAAGTTATTGAACTTTTTTCTGCAGTTTAATCTCTTCTTTAAGCACCACAGATATAAAACCATCTGCTACTGAACGAATTGTATGATTTATTCAGGAGCTGATATGCCTGCGTGCCATCAGAGATGTCAATGTACCAAAGTTCCTTCAGGACGACCTCAAGCTCTTCAATGGCATTGTGTCCGACCTCTTCCCCAAGATCCGTGAAGAGCCAATAGACTATGGTACCCTAGAAGAGTCCATCAGGAATGTCTGTGCAATCAAATGCCTTAAAGATGTGGATGGTGAGTGTGCGGTAGAATTATGTGATTTATAAGAAAACAATAGCAAATCATATTTCTTACCGAATTGATTATGTAGAATTATTATCAGTTAGCTCTAAATATTTTTGATGTCTATTTGCTCCAGCACTATAATTTTGGGAAAAAAGTCATATTAAATGCTAAATTGGTTAGTCAGCAAATTCATTTTTAGTGTTTTTCTTGTCTTGCAGGGTTTATAACCAAGTGTATTCAATTATATGAGACCACTGTTGTCAGACACGGTCTAATGTTGGTAGGACCATCAGGCTCTGGTAAAACAAAGGTAAGCTTCACTAATACACAAACCAGTGCACAAATTAACAAGCTGCAACAAAAATGGCAAATTCTAATTTTGGAATTCGCTTATATACACTCTCACATACTTACAGTGTTATGAAGTGCTGGGAGCAGCAATGACAGCCCTGAAAGGCCAACCCTCAGTTAGTGGAGGAGTATATGAGTCTGTACAGACCTACGTGCTCAACCCCAAATCCATCACTATGGGGCAGCTTTATGGAGAATTTGATCAGCTTACTCATGAATGGTGAGTGCACTCTGGATTTATTGTAATAACAGTACTGTACAGGTTGATGTAGCCTCCTGGGCAGTGCTCTGGTTGCGCTTTGTTGACCTGAGTTTATACTATCCAATCTTAGAATAATCGGATGCAAAATTCACTTTTACATGGTGTTTGCATATTAGCAGTGTGTGGACACAACCACTCTACAATAATAAAAATCCATTCACTCCTTTTTTTAATCCCCAAAAAACCTAAACAGCCTCAATTATCAAGCCGTTTTGAGTTTCTGAGCAATATGATGTCATAGTGCTCAGGCCCCGCCCATAACCACTGATGAACTGTCCCATATTAGCATATTTCAGCCCTCAGCCAGTTGTACGCTGTCTGACATTTTGTCTGGCTAGAGCAGCTTTAGCGACAACAATATCTTGTAAGCAATGCAGGTGTTTTGAAGTTGGATGTAAAAGTGAACATAAGAGCCTTAATTTTCTCCTAACATCAGAGCCACTGAGGACACAGTGGATTAGTTTTATTTTTGTTTTGTTTCTGAATACACAAAAAATGGAAGAGAGGGGCGGGGTGAGCAGTAGCTCATTATCATTTAAAGAGACATGCACCAAAATGGATCGCTGTGAACAGAGCTGCTTCTGACAAGGTACAAAGGTATTGTTTTAGACGACAATTGGGGAATTTTCACCAAAGTATGTTGCAGACATTTCATGAAGACCCTAAAGAATCAAACCAACTTATGGAAAATTGGCATCCGATGCCCCCTTAAAGATCTCACAAAAAAAAAAAAAGACTGTGCAGGTTGTTAAAAGTACACAAACTGTTAAATTACAGGACAGATGGTATACTGTCTTGTCTCATTCGGGATGGAGCTGTCTCCATGGACCAGGAGAAGAAGTGGTACATGTTTGATGGACCTGTGGATGCTGTGTGGATTGAGAACATGAACACGGTTCTGGATGACAACAAGAAACTGTGTCTAAGCTCTGGAGAGATCATCAAACTCTCTGACGTATGAGAATTTCTGCTAATAGCTCTCAGTGTTGTACCTCCTTTGTGTAACTAGAATAATTTTCTTTGTTTTTCGGACAATTTTTTGGTCCTCAGGAGATGACTATGATGTTTGAGGTGCAGGATTTGGCAGTGGCATCTCCTGCCACGGTTTCTCGCTGTGGCATGGTATATCTTGAGCCCAGTATTTTGGGTCTGACTCCATTCACAGAATGTTGGCTCCGCACGATCCCTGACATGTTTCAGCCCTACACAGATCAACTCAACTCTCTCTTCACTAGGTTCTTACAGGTGATTGGTCCTGTAGTGTTTTTTTATTTTTAAATTAAATACTGTAAATTGAATTAAAAGCACTTTAGTTTATGAAGTCTACACCCTGATCAAAATATGTTGATCAAATAAAAGTGAACATATTGTAAGGTATGTAGTTCATTGTCTATCAAGGTTTTGAGATGTTGTTATGTGCTGCCTCAGGACTCCATCCAATTTGTCAGAAAATCAGTGAAGGAGGTGATCACCTCCATGGACAGCAATCTTACCTGCTCTCTGCTCAAACTGATGGACTGTTTCTTTCAGCCCTTCATCCCACGGGAGGTCAAATAACTTTTTAGTATTACAGTGGTTAAACTAATTTATTCATGGCTAAACTCAGTTTTGTGTGTGTGGTCAGGGTAAGAAGCCCCCTTCCCAGGAGAAACTGTCTCGGCTGCAGGAGCTGATTGAGCCCTGGTTTATCTTTTCACTCATATGGAGTGTTGGAGCTACAGGTGACGCTGCCAGCTGCCAACGTTTCAGTTCATGGCTCAGGAGCAAGATGGTTGAAGAAAAGGTCAATAGTAGCATAAATTTATCATGAAGCTCAGTGCTATCAGCAATGATTTACATCTGTAGATAATTAAACAGAAGTGCCACAGAGTATTCAAATAATTGTATTGCTTTTTTTGTAAGTTTAGAGCTGCATTTTGCAAACCTCGTTTGTTTGTTTTTCAGGTCCATTTGTGTTTCCCTGAGGAGGGACTAGTATACGATTACCATTTAGATGATGCAGGAATAAGTTGTTTTGATGAGGAGGAGGAGGAGGATGGAAAAGAGAGGAAGGTGAGAATGTTTTCTGGAATATTGAAATTAATTTACAAAACAGTTTTGAGGTACTTTTGATTAAAAGAAATGAAATCATTTTCAAATGATACAATAAACATTCATTCATTTGATTATTCAAATGCTTCAGGTTCAATGGGTCAATTGGATGAAATATGCACAGAAAGTGGTCATCACCCCAGAAACTAGCTACTCTGACATCATTGTGCCCACAGTCGACACTGTTCGCATGTCCTTCCTGACAGACATGCTGCTTTCCAATAAGAAGCCTGTGGGTAGTTTTGACTTTCAGTCTACATGCAGCTAACTTAATGTCATATGCATGTGCTGCTAAGCTTGTTTCCTCTTTTGATTTGTCAGGTCTTGTGCATTGGGCCAACTGGCACAGGAAAGACCCTGACCATATCAGACAAGCTTCTCAAGAACATGCCTGCTGAATACATCACTCACTTCCTAATGTTCTCTGCTCGCACCTCAGCCAACCAGACTCAAGACTATATCGACAGCAAACTTGACAGAAGGTTCTTCCACTGTCTCTTCCTCTCATCAGTCTGTTACTGATACATTTTTTCTCTGTACATATTACTAGATTTTTAGTATATACACAAATCTTACTTGCAGACGTAAAGGTGTGTTTGGGCCTCCTTTGGGAAAATATTTTATTTTCTTTATTGATGATCTGAACATGCCCATGCTGGAAACATATGGAGCTCAGCCTCCCATTGAACTGCTGCGCCAGTGGATGGATCACGGAGGCTGGTATGACAGAAAACAGATAGGTGTGTTTAAAAAGTTGGGTTGATCTGTTTTTTTTAAAGAAATTAATGCTTTTATTCAACAAAGATGCATTAAAGTGAGCAAAAGCGACAGAAAGGTTTCTATTTCACATAAATTATGTTGTTTTGGTCATTCTGTTAATCAAAGAGTCCATGGTTTCCACAAACATATTAAGCAGCATTCCTGAATGATAGTGCACAAAAATACTTTGTACAAACTCTGATTCATCCTCGGTGTTTAACAGGCACCTTAAAAAACATTGTTGACATAAACTTTGCGTGTGCCATGGGCCCTCCTGGTGGCGGCAGGAACCCCATCACTCAACGCTTCACACGCCACTTCAACTTCCTGTCCTTCACTGAAATGGAGGACATCAGCAAGAAGAAGATCTTTTCCACCATCCTGGGGAGCTGGATGGGTGAGTGACAGTCATCATGTGGGCATCTAGATATGAATGTATTTCAATGTGGGTTTTCAACAGGAAACATCTGTCATAAGCTTTGGTAACATTTTAAATGATGTTATTGATGTTTTGATTTGTTTATTTTATTTATTTTTTTTACAGATGGAAATATGAGTAAAAAGGACCCAGGCAGTAAGCTTGATACAGGGAGAGAAACAGAAAGATAGACAGACAGACAGAACGAAGAGAAAGACTAAACCACTAAATGTCACATTTCTTATTGATATTTACAAATATAAGTTATACTAATATACTAATAAGTTATTTACTAATATATTTCTGTAATGAGAAATATTGAGCTTATACTGTATATGTCTCACTTGCTAAATGGATTTTCTCACACAAACTAATTTTGCGTCTATGATTTCTAGAGAAATTTCCAGAAATTAAACCATTCAATGAGCCACTAGTAGATGCAACCATCAGGGTGTACTCCACTCTTACCTCTGCTCTCCTACCCACACCTGCTAAATCCCACTATACGTTCAACCTAAGGGACCTCTCAAAAGTCTTCCAGGGCATCCTGATGGCAGAGGCTGGGAAAATAGAGGTACCACCATTAAGTCTCAGTTTTTTTTAGATATTTCATGTGTTATCTATTCAAATCTTAATAAAATCTTTTGTATCATCTCTGTTTACTCAGAATAAAATACAGCTATTGCAGCTTTGGTATCATGAGAGCTGCAGGGTGTTCCAGGATCGACTGGTCAGCAATGAGGACAGGAAGTGGTTTGACCAACTCCTCCACACTCACATACAGGAGTTTGGGTGCAAGATTGAGGAGGTGGTCCCGTACCAGCCAGTCCTATATGGGGACTTCATGTTCCCAGGGGCTGTCAAGGTCTACCGGCTGATTGAAGATGTAGAAAAGGTACAAGGCTTATATTGCCTTGTATTGATTCGGTTACATGTTAGTGGTGCTTGGCTGCTACACATATCAATAATGCCTCAAGTTGTGTGGATACTACATTTCTGTGTCCATTCCCCATTCTGCATTTCTGTGTTATTTTATTTTGAGTGATATACTATTAGAGTATATACAGTATATAAAGTAGTCAACATTTGAAGTGGATCAAAAAAGTTCATCAAAGTTGTCCTAAGACAAGAACGGGTATTGTTTTTGTTTTAGGACAACTTTGATGAAAACTTTTGATATCAAATATACATACATATATATATATATATATATGTGTGTGTGTGTGTGTGTGTGTGTATGTATATATGCATGTATATATAGTGAGTTTATTAAGATTTTGTTTTTAGTTTATTTATTGCAACTGTTTTAGTACTTTAAACGAAAATTAGAACTGTTGCCTTGGCAGCCAGCTGAAATAAAATAAGTTGATTTTTTTTATATATTTCATTTCAGTTCATGTTCATTTTATTTCAAGTGATTTTTTTTCTTTACAATAATAATCCTGGATCAGACTTTTGTTTGGGCAGCCACTCATTGTTAAAATATAACGTCTTTATTTTTTGGCATTTTGCTTGCCTTGGCAAGTATTTAGCATAAAATAGTTGTTTTTTGAATCAAAAGGGTTTTTTTTAAGTCTTGTTCTGTATCCACTAATACAGCTGGCCAGTGTGATGGAGGAGTACATGGATGATTATAACCAGACCAGCACCACTAAGATGAAGCTGGTGCTGTTCATGGACGCCATACAGCATGTGTGTCGTATCAGCCGTATCCTGCGCCAGCCCCTGGGGAACGCTTTGCTGTTAGGAGTTGGTGGCAGTGGACGCCAGTCACTTACCAGGCTTGCGACACACATGTGAGAGCTAAAGAGTTGTTATGCTGAACCCTTAAAATATAATTAGCATCACTAATGTGAGTCAGTTGAATAAGGTTTTATTTTATCAAAACCAGAAGTTACACTGACCCACCGAATTGAAACTGTTTAAACCTTAACAATTTTGACATCAATACTTTTGTTAAAATGATCCTTGCCTGTAAACTTTTTGCTCTGCCACCCATGTAGAACTGAAAAGAATTATTATGTCATGCCTTGAACACATACGCGAGCAATGTTCCAAGTACCAACTATTTGAACACATCTAATAAACTGACATATATAATACAAACACATCATTTGACAATAGACACAGTATTTATACACAAGGAAAACATGTTTTTTTTTCAAGTTATTGCTAGAATGTGTTTAAGGGGCAACATCTGAAAGTAAGCACTAGACAGATCTTAAACTTTAGTTAATATGTTTGAAAATGTCTTTATACATGGCCACCCACAAAGAAATGATTACAGTATAAATCCTGCTATTATATCCCAGCATCATGTTGAACATTCAGTCATTCATTCATATGTCCATTTGGAAACCATCCAAGAGTGATAGACCAAATTAAAGACCTCATCTGTGGCTTCAGTTGAACACAGATTTTCTGATGGTGACTGTCCTTATATTGTCAGATCTGAATATGAGTGCTTCCAGATTGAACTCTCCAAGAATTATGGCTTCCTAGAGTGGAGAGAGGACATCAAAAGCATCATGCTAAAGGCTGGTCTGCAGAATGTGCAAATCACCTTCCTGTTTGTAGATACACAGGTGAGTTCACAGATTATAAACATTTTCACATTATATACCAGATATAATGTTCGAAAGGTTGGAATCATAAGATTTTTATTGTTGATGTTTATTAAAGAAGTCTCTTATGCTCACTAAAGCTGTTTTTATTTGATCAGAAATAGTAAACACAGTAATAATTTTAAAATGTAATTTATTCCTGTGATGGCAAAGCTGAATTTTCAGCAGCCATTGCTCCTGTCTTCAGTGTCACATGATCCTTTAGAAATCTTCCTATGTTCCTAAAAGATTTACAGTATTTGCAGGAAAATCACATTGACACAAACACACAACAACTTGCTGTTCAAGTCTTTAACACATTTCTTCTGTCTTACCTGCCGGTTTTCAGATTAAGAGTGAATCTTTCCTGGAGGATGTGAATAGCATCCTGAACTCCGGCGATGTGCCCAATCTTTATACTTCAGAGGAGCAGGAACGGATCCTGACTGCCATGAAACCTGTGGTTCAGGACATGGGCCAGCAGCCCACAAAAGCAAACCTCATGGCAGCCTACATCAAAAGAGTCCGTAGCAACATCCACACTGTTCTCTGCATGAGGTTTATCTTTATATTAATACTTCTGTTGATACTTCAATGCTACAAATACACTGTTCAGAACTGTTGCAGAGATCTAGTGTAAAGCTAGATTTTTTTCGTCTGTTGTCCCATTTGTTAGAATGATATGCCATAATATTTCAGCTTGAAACATACAGTAAACAGTTGGAAACTGAGTCTCAAGACCTCTGTTCTCTGTCTCCATCTACAGTCCAGTAGGGGAAGTGTTCCGGGCTCGCCTCAGGCAGTTCCCCTCACTGGTCAACTGCTGCACAATTGACTGGTTCAGCGCATGGCCACAGGAGGCACTACAGTCTGTAGCAACATCTTTCCTCAATGAGCTTCCAGAACTGGAGGCCAGCCCTACGGCCATCCAAAGCCTGGTCAGTAAAAGTGTGTGATGCATGTGTAAGTGTATACAAGATCGTAAAACTGACCTGTTGTCTCTCTTTACAGGCACTGATGTGTGTTGAGATCCATCAAATGGTGTCCAGGAAGTGTGAGCAGTACTTGGCTGAACTTTCCCGCCACAACTACGTCACTCCTAAGAGTTACCTGGAGCTCCTCAGCATCTTCTCATCTCTGATTGGCCAGAAGAAGCAGGAGCTACACAGCGCTCGACAGAGAATGAAAACAGGCCTGGATAAGGTGATTTAGGAAATGGCTTATTCTTCCTACACATTCTACATGATCTACAAACATGTTTATGATTGTACGTGTATGTGTGTAGCTGCTGAGTACAGCAGAGGATGTGAGCAAGATGCAGGAAGAGTTGGAGATGATGAGGCCTCAGCTGGAGGAAGCAGCCAAGGACACTGTGATCACCATGGAGAAAATAAAAGTGAATAAAACAGCAAAAATAAAAAAGTTAGGAAGGCAAACATGAATGAATAAAATTCCAGATTGATTTTTGTTGCCTGAGATATATATGTGTGTGTGTGTGTGTGTGTAGGAAGATACAGTGGTAGCTGAGGAGACCCGTGTAGCGGTGCAGGCTGAGGAGGCTAAGGCCACTGAAAAGGCTCGTGTGGCACAGGCCATCGCTGATGATGCTCAGAAAGATCTGGATGAAGCGCTTCCTGCTTTGGATGCTGCCCTCAATAGCCTGAAGTCGCTGAAAAAGAATGATGTCGTTGAGGTGCATACATCATATTTTCTGTTAACATCTGTCCAAAATACCACAAAGTTCAGGTCATGCCAGCTCACAAGGAGGTGTGTGTGTGTGTGTGTTTGATATACTGTAGGTGCGGGCTCTGCAGAGGCCTCCTCAAGGAGTGAAGCTGGTTATAGAAGCTGTCTGTATCCTGAAGGGTATCAAACCCAAGAAAGTTGCAGGAGAGAAGCTCGGAGAGAAGGTTGATGACTACTGGGATGCAGGAAAGGGTCTTCTGCAGGATCCAGGAAAATTTCTGGACGGTCTCTTCAAGTTTGACAAGGTGAGATGCGGATTTTGTATGTGGGTAATATAACCATGTCCCTTTTTGTTTACTGTGTCCCTAGTGAAAATAAATATACTAAAATGTGTTTGAAATACGTTTATTTCATGCGAATTGTACTACAAATACATTAACATATTTATGTACTTAATAAAAATGACCTGCAATTGTACTTTTAGTATTCTAAACTGGTATAGGCCTACTTAAAGTCTGCTAAATTGAAACACTTGAAAAAGAGTCCATTTTTATGGGCATTATGTGTCTGTTTTAGAGAGACTTGAGTAAGAGTTGATTTTCTCTACATACTTTTAGGTCGTAAAAGTTTATCTGATCTGGCTGAGGGGTCCTGGTTGCCATGGTAACCAGGGGCCTGCGGTCGTTCCCAGACATGCTGGCACCCAGTATGTTTATTGGGTGACGGGTCTGTGATTATTTGTTAATCTAATGAACAAATGTGTGTCTGATTGGTCCAAATGCTACATCAGTAAGTTTCAAGCGATATGTCAATAAATATGTTAATAGATTTGAACTGTACTTAGTATAAAATAAATGTTAATGTACACTGATGATAATAAGAAATGTTTCTTGTGCCCGAAATCAGATATGATTAGTTTTAGAATCATTCAGAATGATTTCTGAAGCATAATGTGACACTGGGTTAATAGCCGCTGAGAATTCAGCTTTGCAGTCACAGAAATTAATTTCATTTTAAAATATATTAAAGTTGAAAACAATTATTTTAAATTGTAATAATATTTCACAATATTACTCTTTTAACTGTATTTTATATCAAATAAATGCCGTTTTGATGAGCATAAAAGTCTTTGGTTTGTTTGAAAAAGATTAAAAATTTTACAGAGCCCAAACATTGTACGATTTTTAGTACAAATTCAAAATCTTCATGGCATTATAAATATTAACTGAAACATTTAAGCCCGAAGTGTATAATTTCCATTGCTCTGGTCTTTTATCCCACAGGACAACATCCCAGATTCTGTGATCAAACTAGTGCAGCCTTACATTGACAACCCAGAGTTCCAGACTGACTCAATTGCCAAGGTGTCCAAAGCCTGTACTTCCATCTGTCAGTGGGTGCGAGCAATGCATGTGTACCATTTTGTGGCCAGAGCTGTAGAGCCCAAACGGGTAGGAGCTTGATTCCTTTCTGCTAAATCCATTGTTTAGCTTAAATCTCCTTCAGTGTTCATTCCCTTTTTTTTTTTTTATATCTGTCTGTAATTACAACATTTTAAGCACTTTTCTGCCTAAAGCTGTTCAGCAGCATGTTGAAGTTTTTGTGAACAGACCAAAACTGAGGCTAATTTAATAATTATATTAATTCATTTCTATGTGTGCGTGTGAGCAGCAAGCCTTGCAGGAAGCTCAGGAGGATCTGGATGTAACACAACGCATTCTGGATGATGCGAAGGAGAAACTAGCAGCTGTAGAGGAGGGCATTGCTACACTGCAGGCCAAGTATCATGAATGCCTGACCAAGAGAGACGAGCTAGATGCCAAATGTCAACTGTGTGAGAACAGATTGATCCGTGCAGATAAGGTGAGTGGAGAAAAACTATTTCATTTTGCATTTATTTCACTGGGACATTGGCCTGTCAAACTTACCACTTTATCATGCCAGCCTGATTTGCATCAGTATGAAATAGATGACTTGTGAATATGTTTTGTAGAAGTTTGCTATACTTTGAGTTTATATTGAGCACATGGTGGTTCAGACACAGGATGTTGTTGTGTGTGGCAGCTGATTGGTGGACTGGCTGATGAGAAGGTGCGCTGGAGAGAGACCGTTCAGCAGCTGGAGTACATGGTGAATAACGTGGCAGGAGATGTGCTGCTCGCTGCAGGATACGTAGCTTACCTCGGACCCTTCACTGTGAGTGTGTGGGAGTGCGGCAGAGAAAATGCATATTGGGTGGAATGATGTTTGAATATGTGATTGAGTTAATTATGAGGGTGGTTGTTTACAAACACTGTTCGAAATCAGATCATATTTCACCCTAAAAATAAAAAGACATTTTTCAGATTTTTAAAGATAATTTTTTTGACAAATAAGCACTTTTCTTGTTGCTGTAATGCAGAAAAATCTCATTTTAACATTTAATTGTGAGATTCACAGAGAGAGTAGATGTAAATATGTGTGATTTCTGCAGGGAGAATATCGTTCAGCGATGGCTGAGGAGTGGCTCAGAGGTTTTAAAGAACTGGCAGTCCCTCACACAGAACGGCCCAACCTGATCAGCACACTGGGAGACAAAGTCAAGATCCGCTCCTGGCAGGTTAGAGACCGACACATAAGTACTTCAGTGCATAGACATAATACTGTTTGTTATGTAAATGTGCTAGTTATTAACATTTTAAGTGTATTTATTTATTTGCGTGTGTGATTTTTGTGTGTAGATTGCAGGGCTGCCCAAGGATAGTCTTTCTGTGGAGAACGGAGTAATTACTCAATACTCTCAGCGCTGGCCTCTGTTTATCGATCCGCAGGGACAGGCCAACAAGTGGATTAAGAACATGGTAATAATTATACAGAATTATTATACTAAAAACATTTTTTTTACCTTAGATAACAAAGCTAACTAGCTAAATCATGCACTAGTGTCCAAAAGTTTTTATGTTTTTGAAAGAAGTCTCTTATGCTCACCAGGCTGCATATAATTGATCAAAAAATTCCAGTAAATGCTGATGAGATGGGACTAAAATCTTAATGACCCTAAACTTTTGAACAGTATTGTGTGCATTGTACTGAATAATTTACTCCAATGCAGTTTTTGTTTCTACCTTTTCTCATGGTCTTTGCTTTTGTTCTGTTTCCACAGGAGCGTGATAACACATTAGCTGTGATGAAGTTGAGTGACCGAGACTTCCTGCGTAGTTTAGAAAATGCTATCCGCTTTGGAAAGCCTTGCTTGCTGGAGAATGTTGGGGAGGAGCTAGACCCTGCGTTGGACCCTGTGCTCCTACGACAGGTATACATCACTGTTTTGTGTGAATAAATCATAAAATAAAACTCAAAATGTGCTACAGCAGCCACATGAATATGAACAGTGTTTGACGATTTCAATGAAACTTTTGTTATAATATTTCTTAGCTGCCTGTAGTGTAAATCTGACTTTCTTGAGTGTATGCTCTTCAGACATATACCCATGAAGGCAACGTAGTTCTAAAACTCGGAGACACTGTCATTCACTATCATGACGACTTCAAGATGTACATCACCACTAAGCTGCCCAACCCACATTACTCACCGGAGATCTCTACTAAAGTGACTCTCATTAACTTCACCCTCTCACCCAGGTGCTGCTCTTAAATTTCTTAAGACAAGAACATAATGAGGGCTTTTAGGTTGAGAGGTAGATTCTGGATTTCACATGTGTTGGGTTTCTGTGCGTATTCATACAGTGGGCTAGAGGATCAGCTACTAGGCTGTCTCGTAGCTGAAGAGAGACCTGATCTGGAAAAGGCGAAGAACCAACTCATTGTGAGTAATGCACAAATGAAACAGGAATTAAAGGAGATAGAAGATCAGATCCTGTTCCGACTGAGCTCTTCAGAGGGAAACCCTGTTGATGACGAGGAATTGATAAGAGTGCTTGCGGCCTCCAAAGTCAAAGCCGAAGAAATTCAGGTCTGAAAGAAATGGTTGTGCAGAGCTAAATCTGATTTCTATTAATGCTGTAGAAATCTAATACCAAATCAGTGATTTTTTAACATTTTCAAACCATTAGGCTAAAGTGACTGCAGCTGAGGCGACTGAGAGGGACATTGACGCCACACGTCTGGAATACGTCCCAGTGGCTGTCAGAGCCCAGATCCTCTTCTTCTGTGTGTCAGATCTGTCAAATGTGGACCCCATGTACCAGTACTCTCTGGAGTGGTTCCTGGGGATTTTTATGAGTGGCATTGCCAACTCAAAGAAAGCAGGTGAAAACATGCCCTTCTATTATTGACCTTTGGCACTGAAGAACCTGAAAAGGTCATTTTTCACTACCCACAACAATATTCAAAGGCCCCATAGCTTTTCCAGTTATTTGTGATTTACTGGATAAGGATACAATTTATATATATATATATATTATCAGTTTATCAGAGACCACACAAGGATATTTAAAACAAGTTCATTAAGTGAATTCTGTCTTTATTTTCTTTTGATCTTTATCACTCAAGCTGCTTTTAATAATGCTAATATTTCTTCCACTATAAATCCAGCTTTATTTGATTGTGCTGTGATAAAACAAATGAACAACTAACACCGTGTTGTTATATCATTTTCTGTGTTTGTAGTGAGGAAGAAATAATAACAAACTAAAGAAATATCTTGATTTGTGTATGAATGTCTGTGTGTGTACAGGCTGAGTGGCAATATTTGTTATCAGGGGGGCGGCCCCAGCATCAGGCTCCAAATCCTGCTCCAAACTGGCTCTCCATGAGAGCCTGGCAGGACATACTGGCACTGAGCACCCTGCCCACCTTCAGTAACCTGCCAGAGAGCTTCTCCAAACATGAGTCTGCATTCAAGAGTATATTCGACAGCAGCCAGCCACACAGGTAGGCACAAACATACTTGTACATACTATTAGAGGTTGTAAGTATTGTTATAGTGCATGTCAGGTTTAGATTCTAAGTTTATAAGCATATGTGAACAGGGAGCCTCTTCCAGGCGAGTGGGACAGTGGTTTAGACTCATTTCAGAAGCTTCTGTTTCTGCGTTGTCTGAGAGCTGACCGGCTCACTCACGGACTGCAGGACTTTGTGGCTTCACAGCTGGGTCAGAACTTCATCGAGCCACAGGTACCCACACATGTGCTCTATATACGCTGTGCTCATATCATCATATAATAGCGTTAACAATCTAATAGCATTTTGATATTAACGGAACACTGTTTATGTAAGAACTTCGCATTAGAATGTTAAATAAACAGAGGCTAATTTGAATTCACCCTGTAGCAGGTATTTGCATATTTTTGAGTCATACTAATAATGTTTTTCTGTATGACTCACTGTTTTTGGTTTTGATTTGTCATGTCTCTCATTCCACCATGTTTCTCTTGTCTCTCAGACATCAGACCTGTCTGTGGTGTTTAAAGATTCGTCACCTTCCACCGCTCTCATTTTTGTGCTTTCTCCTGGTACCGACCCCGCTGCTGACCTCTATAAGTTTGCAGAGGTCATGAAGTTTTCAAAGAAGATGACCGCCATCTCCCTTGGCCAAGGACAGGTCAGAACACAAAACATCCAGAGATAAACATATGCAGAAACTGATATCATAAATGTATAGTCAGACCAACGCCTGTTTCACACATACTCCGTTTGCGGTGTGTATTTTTTCCCGCACCCATGTTAACGGATCAGAGCGTTCACACTGCACACGGTTACGGTCTGGCAGTGCGTTCCAGGAGCGATGCGTCTGCAGCAATGTCTATTTTTGCTGTGCTGAATTAAAGTGACAGTGCTTTGTTCGCGGTAAAAATTAAAATGGATTGACACGGAAGTGTAGTAATTTCACAATACAAAATTTTGGCTTAAAACAAAGAAAAGTGCACTTTTAGATAAACAAGGCAACATATGCACTTGTATCTTGTGGAGGTAGAAAAACAAAGTTCTTTAAGACCCGCGGGACTGTTTAACAAAACATCCAGAGATAAACATATGCAGAAACTGATATCATAAATGTATAGTCAGACCAACGCCTGTTTCACACATACTCCGTTTGCGGTGTGTATTTTTTTCCGCACCCATGTTAATGGATCAGAGCGTTCACACTGCACACGGTTACGGTCTGGCAGTGCATTCCAGGAGCGATGCGTCTGCAGCAATGTCTATTTTTGCTGTGCTGAATTAAAGTGACAGTGCTTTGTTCGCGGTAAAAATTAAAATGGATTGACACGGAAATGTAGTAATTTCACAATACAAAATTTTGGCTTAAAACAAAGAAAAGTGCACTTTTAGATAAACAAGGCAACATATGCACTTGTATCTTGTGGAGGTAGAAAAACAAAGTTCTTTAAGACCCGCGGGACTGTTTGTAATAAAGATTTAAATGTAAAAGGCACGAGAGCCGACTGTTTCTGTCAGTGGTAAGTTTTAATTTAAAATATTTGTGATAGCCTAACACAAGAAAGAACATTATATATAGTGAGCTATATTGAGTATTGAACAAAATGAAAGAATAAGTTGTGAAATATTATTACAAATAAAAAACTGTTTTTCTTTTTTGTTTTAAAATTTAATTTATTCCTGTGATGGCAAATCTGAATTTTCAGCAGTTAAAGAAACTATTATCACTGAAAACACTTTTGCTGCTAAATGTTTTTGTAGAAACCTTTTTTTTTTTTTTTTTCTTTTACCTTTGATAAATAGGAATTCAAAAGAACAGCATTTATTTGAAATAGAAATGTTTTTGCTTTTAATGCCACTTTTGGTCAGTTTAAAGGTATAGTTCACCCAAAAATGAAAATTCTGTCATTAATTACTCACCCTCATGTCGTTCCAAACCCGTAAGACCTCTGTTCATCTTCGGAACACAAATTAAGATATTTTGGATGCATCCCGAGAGCTCTCTGACCCTCCCATAGAGAGCAAGTGTCCTTGCGCGATCAAGGTCCAGAAACATAGCAAGGAGATCGGTAAAATAATACATGTGACATCAGGGGTTCAACCGTAATTTTACGAAGCTACGAGAATACATTTTGTGTGCAAAAGAAAAAAAAAACGACTTTATTCAACAATTCGTATCCTCCTCATCACCCTAGTGCCATTTTGGATAGGTCTTACGGGTTGAACGACATGAGGCTGAGTAATTAATGAACTAACTCTTTAATGCAGCCTTGCTTAATAAAATTTTTAAAAAAAAATCTTATTCTGACCCTAAATTTATGAATGCTAGTGTATGTAAATGTAAATATGTAATATGATATCGTTCTTATTTATGAATATATAAATATATATAAATATAGTTCTCTTTTGATCGTTTTCTGTATGTCTTTTGGCAGACAGCAGAGTTGAAGGCTCTCCTCCTGTCTCTGTGCCTTTTCCATGGAAATGCTATTGAGCGCAGGAAATTCGGCCCACTAGGATTTAACATTCCATATGAGTTTACGGATGGGGACCTGCACATCTGCATCAGCCAGCTGAAAATGTTCCTGGATGAATATCAGGACATCCCATATAAGGCAAATCCAGATGTTCTCTTGCCACACACAGTTTCATGTCTCTCTGCAGAGTATTTCCCTTGCTTTGTGCATATCCTTAGCTGATTAAACATATATTGGGTGACTATAAATATGCCATTTTAAATTTGGTAGTATTTATGTTTGTATAAAGGAAGCAAATCACTCGCAAATCTTACTGATCTCTCTCTCTCCCTCACTGTTCAGGTTCTGAAGTATACTGCAGGGGAAATAAACTATGGGGGTCGTGTGACAGACAACTGGGATCGCCGTTGCATCCTAAACATCCTGGAGGGTTTCTACTGCCCCGCTGTCCTGGGCCCTGAACACCTTTACTCTCCTTCTGGAGAATACAGACAAATCAGCACTGAGAACAATGTCAAGGTCCAGAACTGATATCTCTTAACCTCAGATATTATGAAAAAACAATAAAGCTGATCTCAGATCAGTGCAAAAGGAACGTTTCCCTTCACAGGCTTATAATTTAGCTTGTGTTCTGTTATGTTTAGAGTCATGCAATACATCTAATTTATTTATTTATTTATTTTTTTGTAGGGTTATTTGACCTACTTTCGTGGCCTACCAATTAACGACTCACCAGACATCTTTGGCCTCCATGACAATGCCAACATAAGCTTTGCACAAAATGAGACATTTGCTCTGCTGGGAACTTTAGTGAAGCTCCAGCCAAGAGCAGCAGCCAGCGGAGGCAAGTCCAGAGATGAGGTATGTGTCATATTGATTCTACATACATTTATTTGAATTTAATATACCAGTTTATAAATTGAATATACAGTGGTGTGAAAAAGTGTTGGCCCCCTTCCTGTTTTTTACATTTTTTGCATATAATGTAAAATAATGAGATTAATTGCAGTTCTTTCATGATTTAACAGGAGGGGGCAATTAATTTTTCACGTAGGGCCACGTAGGTTTGGACAGCTTTTTTCCCTTAATAAATGAAATCATCATTTAAAAACTGCATTTTGTATTTACTTGCATTATCTTTGTGTAATATTTAATTTTGTTTGATGATCTGAAACATTAAAGTGTGACAAACATGCAAAAAAATAAGAAATCAGGAAGGGGGCCAACACTTTTTCACACCAATGTATATTGGTCAGAATTTTTTTTTTTATAAATTATTTTTATACATCAAGGATGCATTAAATGTATATGTAAACCAGTGAAGACTTTTACATTGTTAAAAAATGCTGTTCTTTTGAACTTTCAAAAATTCCTGAAAAGTTCAACTTTGCCATCAAATAAATAAATCGCATTTTAAAATATATTTAAATAATAAATAGTTACTTTAAAATGTAATGTTTACAATACAACAATATTTCTGTTTTTCTGTATTTTTAATGAAATAACTGCAGTCTTGGTGAACACGAGAAAAAAACTATTCACACTGTTTTGCATGAGACTGTGCTCTTTAATGTCCTCTTAAATGTAGTTAAAAACAATCCTAAACAGATAATCTATAATTGTAGAAGACCACATGGTTGTGCAGCACTTTAATCAGCCATGCATTTAATTTTTGATTGTAGTTGTGACGCTGCAATTATGGATTGTGCTTAACTCCAGTGAAGTAAAATGCATATGCATTTTAGTTTTAATGCACACTCTCTTTTCCCCTCTACATATTAAGATCATAGAGGAAATTGTGGAGGGGATTGTGGAGAAGATTCCCAGTCTCATTAATGTGCAGGAGGTCATGAATAAATACCCAGTGATGTATGAAGAATCTATGAACACGGTCTTGGTTCAGGAGGTTATAAGGTAAGTTTTCAGTTTCAAGAAAATTATGTTCTACTTTCTACACATCTAAGAATAATGTTAAAATGATGAGTAATGATGCTGAAAATTCAGCTTTGCCATCACAGGGATAAATTACATTTTAAAATGGTTATTTTGAATTGTAATAATATTTAACAGTATTGCTATTACTGTTCTTTCAAAAACATTGAAAAATCTTACAGATAGTGTATATTTAATAGTGTATATTACAAAAACACTCTAAAAATGCACCTCTCTATCACTCTCACAGATATAATAAGTTGTTATCAGTGATTTCCCAGAGTCTCAGTGATCTGGTGAAGGCTTTGAAGGGTTTGGTGGTTATGTCATCTGAACTGGAGCTGATGTCTAACAGTCTGTTCATCAACGCTGTTCCAGAACTATGGAAGGCCAAGGCAAGACTCTCCTAAATGTTAACCATGCAAGACATGCACTGAATTTGTGGAATGAGTGCTTTTGTTATGTCTTGACTATGCAAACACTCTTGTGCGTGTAACTGAAATCAGAATTAGCACTTTGACTACTGAGGGCTTAGACTTATTTGATATATTTGAATGGGTGGCATAATATTCTTCTTTTAATATTTTCCAAGGCATATCCATCTCTTAAGCCGCTGGCTTCCTGGGTGTCCGATCTGGTTCAGCGCATTAGCTTTTTGCAGAACTGGATTTCAGATGGCATTCCTGCTGTATTCTGGATCAGTGGGTTCTTCTTCCCCCAAGCCTTCCTCACAGGAACCCTGCAGAACTTTGCCCGAAGTGCTTTGGTCTCCATTGACACCATTGCTTTTGATTTTAAGGTGCGTAATTTGCTTTCAACAGCAAGGCTTTCTTGCATTAAACTCTGTGTAATGCAATTTGAAGCCTCAACTATGTTTCCATATTAAGCTCTCAAAGCAAGCTTGATATTTGATAGACCATTAAGAGAAGTATGGCATACCTGAGAAGGTCAAACATTGGAATAAGATGTTCTGGTGCATATCTAAACAGCATGATGTGTAAAATTAATAAAAAATATATTTTTAGCGGTTTTCTTTGATTTCCTCTGTTTGAACCCTCGTTTAGGTGATGAAGGAAGCAGCAGCAGAGCTGACTGTGAGGCCCGACATCGGCTGCTTCATCCACGGTCTGTATCTTGAAGGGGCACGCTGGGATTCAGAAAGAGGCCAGCTTACTGAATCCCGTCCCAAAGAGCTCTACACAGAGATGGCTGTTATCTGGATGGTACCCGTTCCCAACCGCAGTCCCCCTCAGTCTGGAATCTACATGTGTCCTATCTACAAAACTCTTACCCGTGCTGGTGAGCAATTTGAAGAGCATTTCTTTGTGAAACTTGCCACACTTTTTGTTAATGTTTCACTACTGTACATCCTGTGGAGTCATTGAGATTTATGTGACAATTTGGTTTGTATTTTACCACAGAGATCTGAAAAGTTTTGTTTTTTTTCCACAGGAACTCTCTCAACCACCGGGCACTCAACTAACTATGTAATTGCAGTTGAGCTGCCCACAGATCGTACCCAAGGGCACTGGATCAAACAGGGTGTGGCCTTGATCTGTGCTCTTGACTACTAGACTTATACACACACCCTTATTCATACACAAATAAAAGCTTGAAGCAACATTGGAAAAATACAGATTGGTGAAAAAACACTGTTACACTGTAAACACTGTCAGTCAGTGTTTAGAGATGACAACTAAGTTTTTAAATGTGGTAATAAAACAGTTTTATGCATGGATGCAGTGTTGTACTAAATCTTGGGGCCCTCACACAAACCACAAAATGAACTCCACCCACAAGCAATGATATCATGCAATATATATGGCATATTTATTAATATTTTAGTATATCACTATGGTAGTATATTGTAGTATTTATTAATATTTGAATTTTCTTTTCTTTTTACTTTTATTTTAATTTTAATGTTTCAGTAATTTGGTTTTGTAATTTTTTGTCATTTTCATTAGTTTTTTATTAAATACAATTTAGTGTTTATTTTTTATTTCAGTTTTAGTTAGTTGCAAAGGCAACATTTCTCATTTTTATTTACATGTAAGTTTCATCTTATAGGTATATTTTGTGTTATTTTAGCTTTTTTATGAAAATGATTTTAAAGGGATAGTTTACCCAAAAATGAAAATTCTGTTTTCAGTCTGTCCTCATGTCCTTCCAAACATGTAAGACCTTCGTTCATCTTCGGAACACAAATTAAGATATTTTTGAATATACAAATTAAGATAGCTTTCTGACCCTCCATAGACAGTAACACAACTACCACGTTCAAGGCCAACAAAGGTAGTAAGGACATCGTTAAAATAGTCCATGTGACATCAGTGGTTCAACCTTAATTTTATGAAGCTACGAGAATACTTTGGTACTGTCATGAACTTGCATCAAAGACTGACACGGAAGAGAAGACATTTTTGAATAAAGTCATTGTTTTGTGTTTTCTTTGTACAAAAAAGTATTCTCGTAGCTTTATAAAATTAAGGTTGAACCACTGATATCACATGGACTGTTTTAACGATTTCCGTACTACCTTTCTGGACCTTGAACGTGTCAGTTGCATTCCTTACTATGCAAAGCACTTGGATTTCATCAGAATATCTTAATTTGTGTTCCAAAGATGAACAAAAGTCTTACGGGTTTGGAAAGACCTGAGGGTGAGTAATTAATGACAGAATTTTCATTTTTGGGGTACTGTCATGAACTTGCATCAAAGACTGACACGGAAGAGAAGAAATTTTTGAATAAAGTCATTGTTTTGTGTTTTCTTTGTACAAAAAAGTATTCTCGTAGCTTTATAAAATTAAGGTTGAACCACTGATATCACATGGACTGTTTTAACGATTTCCGTACTACCTTTCTGGACCTTGAACGTGTCAGTTGCATTCCTTACTATGCAAAGCACTTGGATTTCATCAGAATATCTTAATTTGTGTTCCAAAGATGAACAAAAGTCTTACGGGTTTGGAAAGACCTGAGGGTGAGTAATTAATGACAGAATTTTCATTTTTGGGTGAACTATCCCTTTAATAGTTTCAGCGTTTAGTTATAAATACAATCATAACACTGCAGTAAATTAGACAGACATAAATGAAAATTATTTTACACTCTATATGTTTTTTGGTGTTTACATGACTTAAAATTCTGAATAAGGCAGACATAGTCTCGGTGTCTTAGTCTAATTTCTAACGGGAATATTGCCTTACTCAAGTCATTTCTAAACGTGCGCGGCTCCTTTAAGAAACTAGCGGTTCAGCAGCTCGCGCTTCTGCAACAGACACTACTGACCCCATGTGAACGCGCGCGCACACACACACAGCGGCAATACAGTCAATGACGGGAACTCCGCTTGACAAATCACACTTTCTTTTTCATTTCTGACACTTTCAGCTGGGACCTTTTCTACTCAACGTGAATATGACTTTTATTATTTGGTAACACTGTTTTCGAATTCATTTGTATAACTTATGGACAAAACCTTAGCCTACAAATAAGGGGATTTTATTTTTTTGTTCAACTTTATTTATGATAATCTTCCTGGTGATGTTGAAATCGGCATATTATTTATATGTATCTGAATATAAGTGGCCTAGTGCTGGTAAATGTGCTGTAATTCTGTAACCGTCAGTCAACACAGGAATTCATCAGCAGTGTATTTTCGGAGCAGCGTCACTCAGCGCGCGGATAGTTTATCTGTGGATTTTAAAGGACATTCTTGAGCCACGTTGAGTGTCTAATAGCTTAATTTCGCCTGCATTGAAAGATGCTCCAGAATGGAAAGTCTCAAACGGCCAACGCGGACGCGTCCGAGCCCGAGCCAAAACCTGAAACGCAAAGCGAGAAGACAGAAGCGACCGAGAGCGCCGCGTCTCACCCAGAGAGCCAGCCCACAGACACCGACTGCACTCGGTTCCCCCTGCCCGTCTATCCCAAGCTGGAAATCAAGCGTCATGCCGTGACCGAGGACTACAAAGTCTCAAGTCAAGTGTTGGGTCTGGGTGTTAACGGCAAAGTGGTGGAGTGCTATAACAAGAAAACCGGACAAACGTGCGCGCTGAAGGTAAATTACACACACATGTTGTAATGGGGATATAAAGGGAGACAGGGGCGTCATGGGGGGGGGGGGGGGTATTCACATCTGATGTCACAGAAAACCGTTAATTTGCTTGTCTTCAGTGTCTCTATGTGTTTGCATGTGTGTCATGGCACCGTACCTCATGTAAAGGGTGACTGCCAGAGTGACAAACAGTGTTGAGGTTCCTGGAAACTGAAGTGAAGTTCGGGTAACTGAGTTGAAGGGTTACCCAATCTGACTTGGCTCTTTAAGGAGATGAGGTGTGACACACAGCATTCAGGCAGTGCAATGGAAACATGTCACCCAAGCGCCATCGGGAACAGGGATTTACTGTCCAGTATAATCCAGCTGGATCAGAGGAACTCTATATGCACATAAAGAGAAAATTATAATTGTAGTAGTAAAACACTAAAAACTCTAAAAATATAATTATAAAATACTATGCTAATATTAAACCTGAATATATATATATATATTCAGGTTTAATATTAGCATAGTATTTTATAATTATATTTTTAGAGTTTTTAGTGTTTTACTACTACAATTATAATTTTCTCTTTATGTGCATATAGAGTTCCTCTGATCCAGCTGGATTATACTGGACAGTAAATCCCTGTTCCCGATGGCGCTTGGAAACACTAAAAACTCTAAAAATATAATTATAAAATACTATGCTAATATTAAACCTGAATATATATATATATATTCAGGTTTAATATTAATATATATATATTACAATTTAATAAATTAATGCTTATTTAAATATTTCTGGGGAAATTTGCCTATAGTCTAATTGGACTTACTGGTCTCAATTCTGTTTTTAAAGAGAAAAATAATAATTGTAGTAGTAAAATTCTAAAATTCTCTAAAATTATAATTATAAAATATTATGCTAATATTAAACCTGAATATATATATATATATATATATAGCCTATAGTCTAATTGGATTTACTGGTCCCAATTTTTTAAATATAGACTTGTAAGTGTAGAAAGAACTTAGATAGGCAAACTGTTGTCAGATAATGATTCGTCTGCTAATGTTTTTGAAATAAGTATTTATAAACTTCCCTGTCCACTTATAGTTTTGTCAGGCCATCTGATTTGGCAAGTCTGGATTGCAGCTGTTCTCTCTGTTTTACAACTAAGTGGAAGATATCTAACTAGGTTTAAACAGCAGCTGGCCTGAGATACACATTCAGTGTCTCTTGTAATAGTTAAGGTCAGGATTTGAATATCACACAGAGCCAATGTGACAACAGACTCACTTACACTCAATTGACACACAGTACCATCCCAAATATCTCTTCAGAGTGATAGAGGCATTGCCTATTATTATGAAAATGGCATGGGAAAATGTAAATGAGGCTCTTTTGATGCTTATTGTGCTATCCTAAATGAATCTCAGTGTGCTGGACCACAGTGAAAATCCAATTGTCCTGAGTCATTTAGGAGTTATTTATTGCTCAATATCCTCTCTGCTTTTTAATCACAGGGTAAACAGGAATAGGGCAGAGCTGTCCATCTTGGCTGCCTTTTAATTAGGTAGCATGTTGATGGCTGAGTGTAACGAATAGGTGCTGTTTAATCCACTCTGTTTAGCTGGATAGAAGCCATCCCTTAAATCTAATTCATTTAATTCACTCTTGATTTCCCATATTGGACTTGAACGGCTGCCAACAAGGAAAAGATATCTTACTGCCTGATTGAACCCCTGAGATATACAGGTGCATCTCAATAAATTACAATGTCGTGGAAAAGTTCATTTATTTCAGTAATTCAACTCAAATTGTGAAACTTGTGTATTAAATAGATTCATTGCACACTGACTGAAGTAGTTTAAGTCTTTGGTTCTTTTAATTGTGATGATTTTGGCTCACATTTAACAAAAACCCACCAATTCACTATCTCAACAAATTAGAATACTTCACAAGACCAATAAAAAAAACATTTTTAGTGAATTGTTGGCCTTCTGGAAAGTATGTTCATTTACTGTACATGTACTCAATACTTGGTAGGGGCTCCTTTTGCTTTCATTACTGCCTCAATTCAGCGTGGCATGGAGGTAATCAGTTTGTGGTACTGCTGAGGTGGTTTGGAAGCCCAGGTTTCTTTGAAAGTGGCCTTCAGATCATCTGCATTTTTTGGTCTCTTGTTTCTCATTCTGGACCACAAAACCTGATATGAGGGTCATTTTTTTGAAACTGGGATTGATACATCATCTGAAAGCTTTTTTACTCAAAGATTTGTTAGGATAGGACATTATTTGGCTGAGATAAAACTATTCGAAAATCTGCAATCTGAGGGTGCAAAAAAAATCTTCTTTGAAGTTGTCCAAATTAAGTTCTTAGCAAGGCATATTACTAATCAAATATTACGTTTTGATATATTTACGGTAGGAAATTTACAAAATATCCCCATGGAACTTGATCTTTACTTAATATCCTAATGATTTTTAGCTTAAAAGAAAAATCGATAATTTTGACCCATGCAG